ATTTGAGGTCTCAATTACACAAAGGTCATTTATTCCTTCTTTCGTGTGAATAAAATAAGACTGCAAATCCGTGCATCGAGAATAAAATGATGGGTAAAATTTCGACATCGCATATTTTCTATATAAAACAATAGCAGAGCACTTTTTTTTATTTTATTAAAGCTTACATAATAAACAAATTATTAAATAAACTAAAGTACGCAGCGCTAGCATCAAAGGCTTTATATTTATGTGCAATATATAGAATTGCATAAAAGCATAATTTGAAAAAAAAAATATTTGAAAAATTCACTGATGAAAAAGTAGCCGGAATCCAAAAATATTGATAGTTGTCTGTAAAAAAAAAATTCATATAAAATACTCCCTTTCGAGCTTGTGTTTGCTTTATTGAGACGTTAATTTTTGAGATTGTTCTTCTGAAAAAAACTTAAAACATTAAAAATTACCTTGAAAATTTGGCCCACAAGTTCATCGTCCACTATAGTCGTAACAGAAAAAGCACAAAACTYAGCACTCATACTTAAGTATTAATTGATTATTTGGGTTACGTTTATYATTTTAAAAAATAAATATTTTTTGTTAATCACATAATAAACTCAAATAATGATAAGCTGATGTAACGGGTCTTTCAATAAGAAAACTAATACAAGTACAGAAGTTTTTTTTTCTTTTTTTTTGCTTTCTTTATTCCTGTGAAAATACATTCGATGCCATTATGAATGGAACTTATGCATGACCACCACGGGAACGCTTAAAGAAGTGCAGATGCTGAACCCAAATTTCAACGGTTTTCAAGCAAAAGTCGGCCTAAACTGCTGCAATTTCACGTTCGATATTCGTACGAAGTTCATCAATTGTCGCTAGCTTGTTGACATAGACAATACACTTGACGTAGCCCCACAGGAATTAGTCTAACGGCGTCAAATCGCACGACCGAGGGAGCCAATTGACTGAGCGTTACGTGAAATGAACACTTTATTAAACTTACTAACTTAGTGCGACATTCTTTGTGTGGCTTGTGGCGCCATTCTGTTGGAACCACATATTGCACAAGTGAAAAATATTTGACTATCACTGAGCGATAGCGATTCTCATTATTTATACAACTAGTAACGGGTCGGTCTTGATCACGGAAAAAGACGGCCCAAAGACCACACCAAAGCGTTATTGTAATTTCGCTATACAATGGTGACTCCATGAGTATACTATATAAACACATACGTGTGAATTGCTGCCAAACCAATAACGCATATTTTGCTTATTGACAAAGCCATTCGCCAGAAGTGAGCCTTATCGCTGGAGACGATTTTTCGATGAAAATCCGAAGCATTTTCAATTTGTTGCTGAACCCAGTTTACGAACATAGGCCGCTTCTGGTGATGAAGCGGCTTCATTTCTTGCGTCAATTTGATCTTGTACGGATGTGGGCCAAAATTTTATCACAAAATTCTTTTTCTATCCCTATCGGTTTACTTTTGTAGCATTCCTATTGAAAAACCAGTTCAAATGTGGTACTTTGAGGTTATAATAAAAGCTATAAGTCGGAAGTAAAGGATGAAAAGGTATTGCTCTTAGATCGATATCATAACTTTATGCTATACCATTTATAAATGCCTGCAGTTCTCTTAATCGTCAGAGTATGGAATGTGTGTTTTTTTTTTTTTTTTGTTTTTTTGTTTTTATCTTCGCTTATTGAAAAGAGATATCGATATGCCTTTTCTTCCGAATTCATATTATTAATTTCGTTTGTAAATACCAACGACATGTGGCAGGCTCGAAAATTTTGGCAATTCCGCCGATCAGGCCGATAAAATGTTTCAGTATAGGAATAAATACTTTAATGAAATATGCACCACTTTGCTGCACATGCACTTCGGYTCCACTTCTAAAGGTGTTCATTTAATAAGTTAGATCTCGATCTTTTAACCTTTTGCTGATTTCAGTTACATATTTTTGTCTAAGGAGCCCTTGGCCTAGTACAAKAAAAAGTCCCAGAGCCATTTTCTAACAATTCGATGAATGTGGAAGCAATCACTCTACCCATCAAAATAATTTAGTGGAGTTCTTTGATGTTTTTCTTTGTAACATATTGATATTGCAAAAGGTTCATCATTTTCGGAGGTAAATAATAACGGCTCTACGGAATTTAGCAAATCCCTTGGAATAGTATAGGTCGTGGTTCATTTGCAAAATTGACCTAAGCTTAGAACACCATCATGCARAACCCAGTAGGTTGCTCTTCTTTTAAATTTTTGCCATTAATCTAGCATCTAGCAAATATTTCTGAATTACCAAAGTAAAAATATAAATTTACACAAGCTCTTAAACGACTATGCATAGTTTCTATAGGTAACAGCAAGCAACTCTTACATCCCAGTTTTAACCTCTTTATATAGTAGAGAAGAAGTGCAACATTTTTAAGGATGATTCCCCAACAAACATTATAGCAGCTCGATGTTGACCATGTAGCATTTTTTTTTTTTTCTTTTTTTTTTTTTGAGTCTTTAGAGTCTTTAGAGGTATCTGCATAGATTTTGATGTTTTGTGTATTACTTTCGTCAATATAACAACTCTCTCTTGGCATAATTTTCTATTTTCAAAGCAAAGTTTTGGGAATGCTTTCATAGTTTCAATAGTTCAATAGTTTTTACCGAAAAATTCGAATTAGTTTGAAYGACGCGCGGATGACTATAACAAACTTTGTAAAAGATTCCATGACAAGTATGCGGATTGAATTCAGCCTCGCACGCTAGAAGTAAACCTTTAATAAGTTAAGCTTTCAATTCACTAAATAACTACTAGTACGTTAATAATTTGAAAAAGAATAACAAAAATATATATGTTTGCTCTGAGATAAGATAAGAATAGCTAATAAGCAATAGTTTATTACCCGCTAATCAATTCCATATCAACGAAATGGAAATTTTAATTTTTATTAAGAAATTTTAGTTAAGACTCTGATAGGTTTTGGAATTATTTATACACAATTCGAAGACAATAAATCAATAAAAATGAATTGAAGTACCATGAAAGCCGCCGACGMTAGGTAGTTTGCGAACCTAATTGCTATTCGATAGGTCGTGAGTTCGAGACTACGGTTCCGGTCATTTCGAAAAACTGCTCTGGAAACTGAAAGAAACTAGACAACTTGCTTAGCTAAATTATTAACATCATTGTTAAATAACTCAGGGAACGTTTTATATATAACTCCCCTCTTAAGAAAGATGGATATGGTTTCGATATTAATATTCTTAACCACCTAAGTTTAATTTGTGAAGTGAAATGCAAAAAATGTTCTTAAATAGAAATCTTTTTTGCCTGAAAAGTATTCTTGACATCTGGGATACCTCCCAATATCACATCCAGAAAGTAATTAAATAAGCAATGTATTGGAGCATGTTGAAAAAAATTTATTTTGCTGGCATAACAATATGTTTGACGTCTCAAAACCCAGTTCATTAGAATTTTGATTTTTTAGATGCTCTCCTATACCTATCAAGAAAAGAAATAAATTGTGGAAAGCATTTRAAAGGGTTGAGAAAGGAAAACCTTGTCTGTCATGAGAATATTTTCAACTTCTCATATGAAGCTGACAGTAATGAGATTGGAAGGTGTTAAGAAACAAAAGTCTTTGACAAAATAATGCTTTTGATTTCTCAAATGACAACCAATGTCCATCAAGAAATAAATAGAGTGCTTATTAGAATGTATTGAGAAATGAAATGCTCCTCAAAATCAAGAAAGAAACAAAACATGAAACGCATTCGATCATATTGAGAAATGAAAGCTTTTTTCTTCTCAAAGCCTACCATAAAAATAGAGAAATAGGAAACGTAATGTAATGTATTGAGAACTGAAAAGATTTTTCGTCAGACGAGTATTGTCAACTTCTCAAAAATRAAAAATAATAAGTTGTGGAACGCATTGGAATGTGTTATGAAACAAAAGTCCGTTTTTGAAAATAATATTTTTGACTTGCCAGATGACTCCTAATATCCATCAAGCAGGAAATGGAGTGTGGAACTTATTGGAATGTATTGAAAATTAGAAACTTTCTTTCAAGAGAACATTTTTCACTTCTTAGATGATCACTAAAATCTGCCACGAAAATAAGGGAATAATGAGCTGTGTAACAYATTGGAATGCGTTGAAAACAAAAGTCTGTTTTTCAAAATAACATTTCCGACTTTCCAAATGACTCCCAATATTCACTAAAAATGAARTGGCGAAAGTTTCTTTCATAAGAACATTTTTCGCTTCTTAGATGAACCAACCAATACATGAATGGAATGTGGAACGCATTTAAATATGCTCAGTAAAAACACAATTTTTGTTAAAAGAATATTTTTAAGTGATTTGATTATACAGAAAGCCMACCAAGAATAAAATGAAGTGAAGAACGTATWGGAACGCATTGAAAAATMTCATTGAAATATTTGTGGYTTCTCAGATGGCGCCACTATCCACYAAGAATGAAATGTGTAACTTATTTAGGAAACCCACTTTCGTTTTATTTTAACGAATTTATTGTGGAAGATATTTTTAAATTTCAACATTAAAAATAAATATTAGTTTAATTTAATTGTTTACAAAATATGTATAAAAAAAAATTAATGAATAATCAAGTATTCTTTCATAATCTAAAATATAAATAAAAATTTTGAAAATCATCCAAATTTCTTACAGTGCACCAAATTATCCGTGGGTTATTTTCCACATAAAGAACACGCAAATTGCCACTAAAATTGCGACAAAGAAATGCAAATTTAATAATTTTTTCCTCGGTTTACACTTTGTCACCTCGAGTTGAAGCTAAAGCAATGCCATAGCGACAGTGAAACAACAAMAAACATCATTAACAGCAATAAAGTCAATTGAATAATATTTTCTGCTAAAAATAACAACAACTCACACGCGACTACCCGAGGTGCATATAAAAAAGGCACAAATAACTACAACAACAAACAGAAACATACAATAAAATATATACACATACATATATATACATGTATATAAATATATAAGTATAAATATCTAAGTATATTCTGTACATATAGTACATATATAGTGTACAGTGAAAACGAAAATAGATAAAACATCAAATAAAGCACAATCGAAGCTTATCCAATAAAAACACAAACGCACACACCTAAACATATAAACTCACACATATACATATATATGAATAAGTGTGTACGCAAGTGTCTAAATAAGTTGGGAATATGTCAAAATATCAACTGCTACTCGAACCGTCTGCCACCGGCGATGAGGATGCTCCCACAACAGGCGTAGASAACAGTAACACAACAACAGCCACAACAACACAAACAAGCCTCCACAATGCSGCCGAGAATCTACAAGCGCTGCTCTACACCGACAGCAGCAACGATTCCAGCAGCAGCAGCGGTGGCGGCGGACGGGCGCRTGTAGTGCGCACCAGCAACAACAATAGAAGCGGCAGCWATRGCAACAGCATGGCTAGTCACAGCAGTGGCAGCAGCAGCAGTTGGGAGTACAGTCCCTTCGAYGGTGTCAGCGCAAACAGCARCAACAACAACAACAACATTAATCAGACAAAAGCGGCTGTGGTGTCACGAGCAACAGCGACAACACCAACAACAGGAGCAGTAGTGGCGTTGAGTTTAGCCGACATGGAAGCGAAAACGTCGTCAACATCACTATTGTTGGACGCTTACGAGGCGGATGACACAACGATGGAGGTGCCGCTGCTTGGCGGAAATGATAATGCAAGTGAAATTCATATTAAATTTAATCAAACAAAGMCTTACWCATTACCTACGTRTGYACTACATACATACATATGCATGTGTAATACAACTATTGTGTTGTATGTTTGTCTGTAAATTGTTGTTTCTACATTCATGGGCGCTATTCATTTGTTCATTTTCATATATTGTTTGTATGTAAATATGTATGTAATTGCCGTTGTTATTGTTATGTGCATTTGTAATTATGTGACTGTTATGGTTTCGTTTGACTCCGACATTGTTGTTGTGGGCACAGTTTTAGACACAGGCAGTCGTTTTCATAATATAATGACTTAATGATGGCTTCACGAGTGCATTGCGTGTGGCGTATTTGGATAATTATATTCCCTAGCAGCTACTGTATTAAGAGAGTTAAGTCTGAAAGTTAATGTATCTCTATTTATGATTGTAATTTATAAAAATATATGTATGACCAAGATAAACGAAGTTATSTACGACTAGATCAACYGTCACATGGGAGCCAATTCGCGAAAGCGATAACTGTTTGATTGATGAGAGGAAATATTTCGTCTTACCCACGATCACTGCCTTATCGAGTCTGGAGAAAGCAGAGCTAATAGCGCGGCTGTTGAGGTCAATGATATCAATACGCTCTGCTACTCGTACTACTTTCTTTAACAATAGATAGAATCACGGAGAAGTCCTTCCCGATCATGACGGACCAAGTTCAGACACAGCGGCAGTTCCTTTTCATGCTGTCCAAGGCGGTTTTATAATCGGCTTAGAGGTGGTGTGAGTCGAATTTCCTTTCACGGGTCCTTTTCAAGATTTGGCGCGCAAGGTAAAATCTGTTCGATTGTAGATTTTCTAGGCCTAAAGCCACACTGATAAAATTCCATTAGTTTGTTGACGGTAGTCTTCAGTCTTTCATAAAGTACGCTTGATAGAACATTATTACATACGATGCTGTTTGCCCAGCTCTTCACAGTCACGCGTCTCGCTTCCCACTTCAACTCTCGGTATCTATCCCCTCACATACGTGTTGTGGTCAATATTAATTGATTGATGGYGAGGTTGAAACCACTTTATATATACCCTATATATATAACATCCAATATTTATTAATACAACAACATTACTTGAGCAAAAAGTAACTCTTTAGTTCGGCAATTGTGCCAAACCTATCC